ACTAAAGCAATAATGCACACATGGGATAGCACTGATGTATTCATATGGTGCTATTCAAGTACCAGACAAAGAATTAAAATAAATACAGAAAAACTAAGACAGTGAAAGAAAAAGGTTCAACACATTATGCAAAATATACTTTTCTGTAAATTAAAAAAAAAAAGGCAAAAATAGACAAGTTTTTTAGGATGTTTCAAATTCCTGTTTTTTATGATGAATGAATTGGGAATGAGAATAAGCAAAACATAACAAGGATAGCAGAGTATGATGTACTTGGTTATCAAATACCAGACCACACTGAAGAAATAGGGCAAATAAGCAGACAAATGATGTTCAGAAATGCAAGGTTGAGTATATTAAAGAGAAAAGTCTTTAGCCTCTTTCTTAATTTTTAGGTTTATGGTCTCCAGAAAGGGACTTCTGAATGACTTCTGACAGTTCAGTGAAGACCACTTTTAGATTTATAGCCTCATCAGAAAGAAGGTGGGATGGGAAATGTTCTACTATTATATATATCAGTCATATGGATTTATATAGAGTAGTGTGCTGAATTGCAGGGATCCAGCAAGAGTGATGTCTGTGAATAAGGAAATGTAAACATCTCAGAAGAAAAAAAAAATATAGAAGAGACCAGAATAATTTCATGTAGAAGGAGGAAAATAAGAGGAAGTCTGATGATAAAATATGTATGGAATGATGAATACTGTATTGGAGGCAGACCAAAACCTAACCATCATAGGACTGATCCATCCTATCTAATTTTGGATACTGACAGTAGGGATGTCTATAAGTGAAGTAGTCAGCCTGGACTCCCATTACAGGTAGAGAAATAGGTTCTGTTAAGGAATGGTTCATCTGCCCTGCTGGCTTCTGTGGGTCAAAAGGCAACCCAGGGAGGGGAGGTCTGATGAACTTTGGTCAGAGGAAACCCACACCTGTTTCTATAGACAAGAAATTGGTCACTAAATCAGAGATGTGAAGTTAAAACTTGGCTGGATAAGAAGATATTTTTTTACAGAACACCTTACCGTGAAAATAATTTTACACAGTGTTCTCTGGCATGCAGTGCCCAGGCTGGCAGCAGTCATCATTGATCTGGGTGTAAAGATAGACAGAACAGGTTCTTTCAATATTATCACACTTCATTCCAGGAAAAAAAAGCCCACCCCACAATTTCAGAGAAGACTTAAAAGGATGAATTTCAGGTAAAAGAGGCTGATTTCCCTAGCCTGCTTCCTCAGACAGAAAAATTCCCTCAAGAGCAGGTGGACTAGGCTTTGGCTCTGCAACAGCCTCCAGAGACACCTCTATTCCGGCTGATTGATTAGGGAGATCATTCTTCAGGGATTCAAACAGACTCTAACTGGAAGGATGCACATGAATGCTTTTGGAGAGAAGATAATCCCAGGTTCAGTTTGCCTCTTGTCTTCCTCTGATATATCTAAAACTGGTTCTGGTGATCATCTGTGTTGTTTCTTTAAGGAAGTTTAGTTTACTTTAGTGTAAATATTTGTGCAGCTATTTTAGTTTTTGGAAGACAGATTTTCTAAAATACCTAGTTGGAGTTTTGTTTGGTTTGCCTTGTTTCAGAATTTTACAGGCACAAAAATGAGTCAGGCAGTAGGGTGTAGTAATGAGCAACTCCCTTCCAGCACAAAGAACAAGAAAAAGTTTGTCACTGCCCAGTGACACAGCATTCACATGATAGTGGAAATTACAAATTGCTTAATGGTGTTAGAGCAACCTCACTGTATTATCAGTGTGATTTTAAAATCTCCAGTGTTTCCTCAGTAGTTTGGTCTCAGGTGATGTATTGTGCTTCCCTGCATATTTTGTAACATTTTTCTGCTCTTCTGTGAGCACTGACTTAACATTTAAAATTGTGCTGTCTTTGCCAAAGAGATATTTTTGTGATTTCCACATTTTTTATTTTGATTGCTGTATTAATATGATGTTTTCAATTCTGGGCTAAACTGAAGGATAAATAACACAGATGACACAAAAAGCTTCTGTTCGCTTCACTGCTTAGATGGAATTACTGGCCATTCTAGTTTTGCAGTGATCATAAGAGTAGCAGCTTCCGTAATTTACATCACTTTTGACTCCTGTTTTCATTTTTGACTACCAAATTTTGAAAATTTCCAGATTTGGGTCTTCGTTCTGGCAAAGTCTCATTGCAGGAATGAGTAAGCATTTTGGGTTTTGGTCTGAGGACTCTGCCCTTGCAACGTTATCTTTGTTGATACGGAATTAATTTTCCACCTGAAATCAAGATCTTCTGCCTTTATCACATTATAATCCTCCCCACAGCAACCATTTGTGATACTGCAGGCAGATTATGACTTCAAGAGAAGAATAAGCTTCAGCAAACAGAAGCAGATGAGCTCTTAAAGAGATAAAGATCTCATTTTCCTGTTAGTAATAAACAGCAAAAGAGAAAAATATATAAAATGTCAAGGCGAAGCATTGTCTACAAACAGATTGTTCTAGGTCACAGGTGACTTTTTCATATTGAAACATAATACTTAGTCAGTGAACCTTGACATATTTTGAGGTGAAGCCACTCAGTGAGACAGATTCACATTCTTAAATCCCTATCTGGCATGTGTTTCTGAGCACTTACAGAGCTGCTTAGCTTCTATCAATGCTTCTGTTACATAAACATACTTTCCAGAAGAGTTTTATCTGGCTAATGGGAGTGTGGTGAGGGAGCAGCTGCAGTGCAGGGTATATCACAAGGCTTCAGCCAGTAGCCATCATGTGTGAATGAACAATAATGCATTTAGAAAATCTATTTTGATTTCAGAATTTGGAATATATTTGTTGGTTATTTTAGTCTCTTGAGGAATATTTTAATTTAGTATGGAATAATCCCTGATGCAGTCTAACATTTTTTCTAAAAGAAAATCTCCATGAGCAGTAAGCTCTGTAATAGTAGGGTCCCTGTGTTGTACTTTTCCCTGTTATCCCGAATAGTCCCTAGTATCACGTTGAATGATACATTGTAAGTATCTGTTAGCTATTTCACAGTGTAGAAACAAAATGAGGCAGTAAGCTTTGTCATTGCAATAGTGTGGCAGAGTGTTTCAGAGATCTACATCTCTGAATCTTTGGAGACCCTCCTAAATCTGTGCAGATCTTCTGGTGCAGTGGCTTCACTGTGCTGCTTGCTTTGGTTGATACGGATTCCATTATGACACAGGGTGTCAAAGTCTGTCCCTACCTGTAGTCTGAACAATTCTATTGCTTCAGTAGAGTAAGAGGGATCATAAAAAAAGATTGAAGAAATTTTGTCCGTACCTTTGCATCATATGTATTTCATAGCCCTGTTGCACCACATATATGAACCTCCCAGACTGACTAAGTAAAGCTGGGCTCTATTCCTGTCCCTCTTCTCCAGTGTTCAGGAGTAGAAGGTTGTTACCTGGAATTTACTTCACCATGTCACTTCACCTTTTCACATCATCTGTTGCATGCCATGTGTATCTGTAGCAATCATTAGCATGTGTATGTAAATATGTGTTTGTGTGTTTTGGCCATTTAAAGATATATTTACTTAATGGAGAACACCTTTAAATAACCAAGATACCTGTCTGTCTGTCTGAGTGTCCAGAACAGAGTGTTGCTGTCCTCCCTTGCAGTCTCATGAACATTAGACAAGTAAATCCCATTTTCACAGAGCCATACATCTACTTTTGATTGCTTCAGAACAGCATTTTAGCATAACTTTGCTATGCTGATTTCTTAATTAAAACAACAACAAAAAAGGCAAAAACCTCCAGAAAACACAAAAGCTAAGGGAATAGGGAAAAAACCCCAGCAGGTTTATATGGAAATGTATTGTTCCCACTAGTTTTCTGCTGGTAGGAATTCAGGATATTTAGATTCACAATACAAATTTCTTGAGTTTTATCTAAAATCTAACCATGGAGAAGTTCGAATCTTTACATGGACCAGCCATTTCTGAATGTTGGCTTTGTTACATAAGGACTTCAGCAGAGATATTTACCTAGAAGAAAAGAAGGTAGAAAATTAGGAATTGTTGCATCTATTCTTAGTTTTGAAAGGAAATGTAGCCTTTAAACTGCAGACTGTCACTAAGGACATAGATTTGGCTCACTTAATCTGAAAGCTAATGTGACTAAGTGAATGGATATTATGACTTGGCCAGGTTTAATATTAACCAACATTGTATTCAGTACAAATGATGCATGTCAGGCCCTGTGCATGCTCATGAGGGGACTCAATAAAATGGGAGAATTCTCATTGTAAATGCCCTGCAGGTAGCAATAGAGGGATAGCATGATACATGTTGCCATTAAAGGAATGAAATTCTATAAGGCCATGAACCGTTTTGGATGTTGCTCAGAGGTTTTCTCAGCAAGCCTCTGAAAAGCATTTCTGAAGGGCAGCTTTTCCTGAGTTTATTAATTTGGCCAAATATATCTGTATTTCTCAGATGATAATGAAAGACATCACTCTGTCTTAATTATTTATTCCAAATGGTAAGATTTTCCCCAAACTCTAGCACTATCTGAACTCTTAACAAGAAATGTTGGTTATAATTGTTGCCATCTACCAATTTTTCTTCATTTTCAGTCTTAGGGGAAAAAAAAAAGGCACCTTTGAAGCTCACACTCCCTAAAACAATTTCTCGTGAGGCCAAGAATTAACCTGGAAAATTTTAATTATAATTTTTAAATTAGAACTATTTAGTTATAAATAACTAAAAGTATGAGCTTATAAAGAAAAGCAACAGGAGTTACTGCTACTAACTGTATCAATAATACATGTGATTTAAAAATATAAAACATATGTGATATTAACAGCACTTGGCAACATCTCTTTATTGTTACATGCAGTATATATGGACATTCCATTAATGTAAGGTGAGCATGCCTGTACATCAAGTCGTTGTTAAGATCCTGTGTGATTTTGCTGATGTCACATGGCTCCATTCGGGGAGATGCCAAACACGATGATGCCTTTTTCTGTTACAGGGCTTTAGGTCAAGTCCTCGTCATGCTCGAAGACGTGTAGCACCTCGCCTTGAGGAAACACAACCTATAGTGGAAGCTCACCATCTAAGTGAGCAGGAAACTTCTGTAAGAAAAAGAAAAATCAAGAAAAGCAGCCGAGTCCAACCAGAATTTTACCATTCTGTTCAAGTTACCCCAACTCGAAAGCCTGTAAGTATTCTACCTTTAGGGATAAATAGCACTCAAAGTATATTAGAGAGCCATGTGATACAATTCTATTTTTTGGGCTATCCGTATTCTGTTCCTCAGTTTAAAAATCTTTTCAGTTCTTATGTTCACCATAAGAAGAATGTTTTTTGAATTTTGATATTTTTATTTAATATTCAGTCTACAGTCAATATTCAAATAGGATATTTAATTTGATAGTTTATAGTGATATTAGTAAACAGGTTTTTATAGCGCATATGTATGTTATTGAAATTCCTCACTCAGATTTATCAGAGGTGCTATGTACTGAACCCGATTTATATGAAATCTTATTACTAGATCCAATTTTGAGGTCTCTTCTGCTTTATAGAGTATTTATAATCTTTCTGCTCAACAAAACTTAGATGAAGTCTTATCATTCTTTGCTTCTCAACTTGATCTACGTTCAGTTCTATTAATACTGATAACGTCCTTTTTGTGTGGAAATATGACAATTCATTGAAACATACAGTTCCTAATGTAAATGTGCATGAAGACATATTATGTCTTGCAGACATAATGCTTTTCTTTTATTAATGAGAGCTCACTGCTTTGATGCATTTTCTGACTAACTTATTTGTGCCAATATGAAGGGGCTTGAACTACTTCTACTAAGTCAGTATTATTAAAATGATATTGAGCATACCCTAAAAAATATTATCTTGACATTGCTGCAGTCTAACTGAACCTTCCTAGACTGGTGGTAATTGAACACCAAAAATTATCAATGAGGTCTGAAGATAGTTTGAGAAAGCCTTCCTTAGTGGAATTACATTGCCTCAGAGAGAGCAAGAAACTTGTGCAAAGAAAAGAAAGCCAGAGCTGCCAACAACTGCTAGAATTTTTACTTATTAGCTGATTGATTCCATTTCTCTGCTTTCACTCCACTACTCCCCAGTTTCCTCTGTTCTCTCATGTTTCTACTTATAATTTACTTTAGAGTGCTCAAGATTCTGTGGTTTAATTTGACCTGATGGATTCATTCTTTGCTCTTCTTAAAGGATCTGATCGTCCTTTCTTCTCAACCATCTCCCTTTCACTCCCATCCTATTTTGCCCTCTAGACCATTTTGTCTAGTTCTGTAATTCTTACTGGGTCTCCAGCCTCCCACCAGGCTCTCCTCTGTTCATTATTCACTTCTGGTCCTCTCCCTGCTTTGTTGTCCTTCTTTAATCTCTTCTATAATCTCCTCTATTATTTTCCATGTCACTCCTATTGGGTTTTTTAATTCCCTTTTCAGTTCAGTTGTTCATAATTTTTTCCATCGTAGGCATATGCCTGCCTGTAATTGCTTAGGCTGTTACTAACTACCACTGATTACCAGCATTGGAAAAAGAGCATCAGTGCTGCTGAATTAAAGAGCTAAAACTATATAAATGGTGTAAGCAGCAAAACAGGCTTTTAATAATGGATTATTGAAGCTAAGAAAACCCTGCTTTCCCCCAAAGTCAGTAACATGTCAGGGGCTTCAGGACCAGCAAAAGAAAGAAGTGTAAGAATAGAAAATGTTCAGTGTTACTATATAACTTCACTTTCCTCTTATTTCATGTGTCTGCTGTGTCTGACAAGACCTACCACTGAAGCAGTAATGAATCTCAGATTTAGAGAAAACTTCTCTTAGTGCTGTCACCATTATGTCACCTCCTTGAAATTGCTTTTGCAGTGTATCTTTTATGCAGCGTTATGCAGTTCTTTTGATAGCCTTTCCTTCTACAGCCTTAATGAACTCACATTTCTACAGAAAAAGAATAAATCATTATCTTTATTAGACTACAATCCAGAAAACTTAAGTCACCAATTTAATTTCTCATGGACATTGTAAGTTATTCTGAATGTATTATTAATGCCACGGTGACAGAGTGAATAAGGTTTACGCCATGACAAATCTCCGCAGCATTGTGAAGTTCCAGGCAATCACAATATCGTCCATCTCGCAGTTTGGCACATCTTCATCCCACTTTGTTTCAATGTCTCAAAGCTCAGAGACTTTTGGCCTTCATTTGGCCTTGTAGAGTTTTACGTGATTCAGTGCCAGAAATACTCTTGTTAGTCTGCATAATTTCTTTCTCTTTTTACCCTGTTATTCCTAGCTCTGCCCACCTGAACCACTTTAAATAAATAATCTGTTGTCTTGAAGTTCATATTACAGAAATATTTGTAGGCAGGTATGGCCATATTCTGCTTAGTCATCACTTGAAAAAATGATGTATGATGTCTGCTAACCAGAAGACAGTTTCCCCTCATGAAACAGTTCTCAGTTTTGTTTTCCCTCTACTCATGCCTTTTTGTCCCTATTTTCTGAAAAGAAAGGTATCTCCAAAGTAACTATAAAAAGTCTTCTGGAAAGCTTTTTCTTTGCTCCAGGAAATTTTTGAGTAATCAATCTGAAAACATGTTAGCATGCTTTGTTGCTATATTAAGATGTATGCTTAAAGACTTTTTAGATATTTCGTGAAAAGTTTTGGTGGATGTTTAGATGCTGGGTTTTCTTATTCCTGCTAATTTACACCATTTTGTATTTGTTTGATTTTGTTGTGCCTAAGTCTTGTTTTTCAGTTTCCTGGCTGGTGCTATAATTATCTGAATTTGCTTGTATTATTTCTCGCTTCCTGCATAGCAATCTGAGATCTTTCCAGCATAGTCCCTGATCTTGTCAGAACTAAATTAGGTGTAATTGTGTGGATGGGAGTAATCCTGCTGAAGACAATAATTGCTCCCCTTGAAAATCTGCACAAGCAGATGTTTGCAGAAATAAACTTCAGTTTTCTCTGAAAATTTCATTTTTTTTTTTACACCTTCCAGGTCATTAATGAGGACATTAAATACATTTTGTGCTAATACCAATTCTTACTGTACAGAGTTTATAGCCATTTTCACTTTTACTCATCTTATTTGGTGCAACATGAACATAGTGCTGTGAAGCTTACCCCTTTTAGGGCACATTGTTCTAATTTGTGCCCTGTAGGTCACCCTCTCATTGGTGGCTGTATTTTTTGTGCTGACATTCTCTATAGGTGACAGTTTTACATCAACTTCACGCTGAGGAGAGTAAAGATACCTGTTACTGGAGCGTGCTTTGAGTTTTTGAACACAACAGAGAACTCTTGAGAAGAAACACATCTGTGTTCTTTAATTTAGCATGACTTCATGCAAGTCGAAGGAGTGTTATATATCACTCCTTTCATGAATTGGGTAGCTGACTCTGTAAAGGTAGTTAAATTATCTGAAGGTGTGGAAGGATGCGCAAAAGTCTCCTGTCATGAGCTTGCTGCTGCATAGCAATACTTCTCCAGGGCAAATTTTAAACTAAGGGTTCTATTACAAGCATTTTGCAAATATTATCCATGTTTTAAATAGTGGTCTGCTCTGAAGCAAAAGTATAAGACTATGCAAATTATTAACATTTCTCCCCCACACACGTTGTGCTGGGCTGGAACAAAAGATAGCCTTGAGTTTGTATAAACAAATCTGGCTCCTGAGCTGTGGAGTCAGTTAGACATACAGTTCTGCCAAATTCTAATTTCACCTGTATGTCTACAAACATAGTGGAAAAGAGATGCCATCAAAGCAGCATCTTTTGATATCTCCATTGTTAAACAATGGAGATATCAAACTGCCCAACTCATGCAGTCACCAAGGATTATTTAAGATCATGACATGTATCAAAATTTACACTTGTGTTTGTCATAACAAGATCATTGTAAGATATGCATCAGGTGAGACTACAGAGATTGGGGCGTAAATAAATCTGGTTGCTTCACTTTCAGAAGTGAAGTCCCTGTTTCTTCTCAAATCCCTGTACTTTACACATCCAGAGTTATTGGTCTGTTGTGCCCCTGAAGTGTAGCAACAGCATATATTGAGTGGATTATCTATGGAATAGTGTTAAAAAAAGTATCTCTGAAGTAACCTACAAAGAATAAACTGATGACAAATAATGATCTCAGAAGCACTGATGCTTGCAGGTATCCCTTGGGGTCTCCTAATGAACCTGTTTTTAATTAATTAAGACTGACCTTTGCTGCAGCAATTTAGCTCCTTAGGGGTGGGTGCAGCATTGCTACAAGTTGCTACATGGAAACCTGAAGGAGGTCAGATGTCTGGGAGGTCACATGTGGAAAAAAAACCATATGAGCAGCTTCATTTGGCTCCACTGAGGCTACTCCCAAGGTAGCTGAAGTGAAACTTTCAGTGTAAAGACCCTGTTGAAGAAACCATGAAAGCAAAGCTAAATCAGTTTTTAATGCATGTAAAGCCATGAGTTGTCCCATTCATGGTCTTATTCAGCTATCCTGGTTTTTGCTTTTATGTGTTTAAGCCTTAAAACTTATGGGAAAACCAGTATTACAATTCTGTATAAAAAACACTTTGGAGTTTTTTTTAAACATCTGATACCAAATAATTTATAGAAGAATTCCGGGTGTTAGTGGACACTTAACCTACCTGAGATGAATTATTTCACATGGATGAAGTTGTTCTACAGGGCTTTTTAGAAGGTTTTAATATGTCTCCTTAAATAATCGCTATTTCATTTTGTTAATTTTCTTTTATTCTTACTTTGCTGTTATTTACTAGTTTTCCAGTATCATGTGTCCTTTATGTGCTATTTCAATGACCTAATACAGACGACAAGCAAATATTACCCATCACCCTGCACAAGACTTTGTTAATTCCAAGTGTTACCTATTTAATCTATAGATTGCATTCATATCGTCTTTCTTTTGGAGACATCTGCTAGTGTTGGATTTTGTCTCCTGTGAATTGCATTTAGAAGCAAACTTGGCAAAACATTATCATACCATCTTTCACTTTCAGCATTTTTCTTAACATGATGCTGGAAAGCAGTGCCACAGAAAGGGACCTGGGGATCCTGGAAACCGGCAAGTTGAATATGAGTCAGCAGTGCCCTGGCAGCCAGGAGGGCCAACCGTGTCCTGGGGGGCATCAGGCAAAGCATTTCCAGC